CCTGACTGCCCTGTGTGAAGTCACTCCCCACCCTGAGCTCACCTGGCTGGTTTCCTTTATAACAGCTGCCCCACGTGTAATTGTCTGTCTGTGTGCTTGTCTGCTGTGTATCCCCTCCCACTGGAGTGCAGCTCCCCAGAGCAGAGGGTTTGCTTATCTTTTCCTTCCTGGAACCCAGCCCTTAAATAGTGCTGTCAGGCACTCAGCGAGTATTTGTCGAATGACTGAATGAACATACCCAGTTAGAGCAGGATTCTAACTTAAATTCACATGCCTGTAAAATCTGTGTTCTTAACCTAATAGTTGTGGGGGTTTTTATTGACAAAAGTAATACGAGCAGCATGATATACGAATTAGCCATGTACTATGTGCATTGTTCTCGAAGCACTTTGACATGTATTAACTCATTTAATCCCCATTTTACAAATGATGGATCAGCCGCACAGAGAGGTTAAGGGATTTGCTTAAGGTAACATAGCAAGAATGTGGAGGAGCCAAGATTCAAGTACAGCTAGTCTCAATCTGCTCTCAACCCTCTGCAATGCTGTCTCAAAAAAGGTCAAAGGTTAAAAGAGAGAGGTCAGAATCCCCAGGACAAAGTTCCTGCCTTCATGGAGCTGGAATGGATATCCTTGCTGCTCACACCTCTTCCTTCAGATCTCTGCTCAAATATCACCTTAAGAGAAGCTAATCATGAGCATTTTATAGAGAAATTGTCTTCCCTCCCCCACTGCTCTCCGCATTCCCTGTTCGTATCGCCTGCATTATTTGGTGCAGGTTCCCTGTTGGTACCGCCCTGCATTATTTGGTGCAGGTTCCCTGTTGGTATCGCCCTGCATTATTTGGTGCAGGTTCCCTGTTCACATCGCCCTGCATTATTTGGTGCAGGTTCCCTGTTGGTACTGCCCTGCATTATTTGGGGCAGGTTCCCTGTTGGTACCGCCCTGCATTATTTGGTGCAGGTTCCCTGTTCGTATCACCTGCATTATTTGGTGCAGGTTCCCTGTTGGTATCGCCCTGCATTATTTGGTGCAGGTTCCTTGTTCACATCGCCCTGCATTATTTGGTGCAGGTTCCCTGTTCACATCGCCCTGCATTATTTGGTGCAGGTTCCCTGTTGGTATCACCCTGCATTATGTGGTGCAGGTTCCCTGTTGGTATCGCCCTGCATTATTTGGTGCAGGTTCCCTGTTGGTATCGCCCTGCATTATTTGGTGCAGGTTCCCTGTTCATATTGCCCTGCATTATTTGGTGCAGGTTCCCTGTTCACATCGCCCTGCATTATTTGGTGCAGGTTCCCTGTTCATATTGCCCTGCATTATTTGGTGCAGGTTCCCTGTTCACATCGCCCTGCATTATTTGGTGCAGGTTCCCTGTTCATATTGCCCTGCATTATTTGGTGCAGGTTCCCTGTTCACATCGCCCTGCATTATTTGGTGCAGGTTCCCTGTTGGTATCACCCTGCATTATTTGGTGCAGGTTCCCTGTTGGTATCGCCCTGCATTATTTGGTGCAGGTTCCCTGTTCGTATCGCCCTGCATTATTTGGTGCAGGTGGTATCCCTCACCATAATGGAAATTCTCTGAGAGCTTGGACTTCAGCCGCTTTGCGTGCTGTCCTATCCCATGTGCCTATAGCAGGGACCGGGATGCATTGGCAGTCCGTACATACTCCCAAATGCGTGCAGGGTCACTCCTTTTTCTCACCGGAACCATGTGTCTCACGGTAGCCACGCTGGGGGATGTGTCCTGCCCACCACTGTTTCTGTTCTGTTGTGTTGTTGGAAGTTTCTTAGCAAGACTTGACAGCATTTCTCCCCAACTTCTCCCCACAGCGTCACTGCCTTTGGTCATTAAGCTTCAATTTGCCATCAGAAGCTGTTCAGTTGTCCTGTTAACCATTCTCCACATCTAGGCAAGAGGGTAGTGAAAGCAGCAGTGGCTTTGATGTTGATGGGTTGTCTGTTCTGCTGCCCCTGGAGGAAAAGTCAGGTGAGGTCTAAGGATCTGAGATGCATAAAAATGTTTCATATCCAGAACTGCAATACTGTATCTGCTGCTTCTCAGTTCTGGTCTGTTTGTTTATATGAGTCGTAACTTACTGCTACTTCTGTTAAACACCGAAAATCTTTCTTCACTGATTTCTGTACTAAGTTCATGTTCTTCTTTCTTTATCCCCTGAGATTATCTTGTATTTATCATTTTTTATATGTGTAGTGGCTCCTTAAAGACATTTACACACATTTTGAACATGCCATTTAAAAAATTGTCTTTTCGAATAACCAATGGACACAAGACACTGGGGGGTAGGGCAGGCCGGGGGAAGGGCAAGGGGGAAAAAAAAGGAGACATATGTATTACTTTTTGTAATACTTTAAGCAATAAAAAAAAAAAACAACCCCCCCCAAAAACAAAACCTCAGTGACTGCAGGGATTATACCCAGGTCCCCAGCACCTAGCAGTGTCAATAAATGAAGGCAGCCCACTCTCTACAAGTAAAGCTTAAGTATAAGAAAATACAAAATAAATAAATAAGTAAAAAATAAAATAATTGTCTTTTCTCAATGCAAATAACTGACCACATTTCAAATAGCTTCACTACTGTCTGAGCTTAGATTGTAGTCTTACAAATATAAATGGATGTCACAGTAACTGAGATGAGAAAGTAGCTGGTTATAAAATAAAACATAATTGAAAACTAGGAGTGATGAATAATTTGACTAGTAAAAGAAAATAATAGGTGTTCTAAACAGAAGAAGATTTGTTCATCTATAATTCTATGAATAACTTCCGTTTTGGAGCATAGAAAGGGTGTTTTTCCCTTGTTAATTTCTTTTTAAAATTGAGATATAATTGACATAGCATTGTATTGTTTTAGGTGTACAACATAATGATTTGATATAGATATACTAGAAGCCCAATGCATGAAATTTGTGCAAGGGGCTTGGCCCCGCCGCTGCAGTGGCCGCCTCTGCCTTGACACCCGCCCCCACCACCCCGCCTCTGCCTTGGCCCTGCTGCGGCAACTTCGTCCAGAAGGACGTCCGATCTAATTAGGATATTACACTTTCATTATTATAGATATATATAGGGCAAAAGTTATTACCCCACCAAGTCCTGCTAACACCCATTTCTACCCATTGTTACAAGGTTTTTCCTTGTGATCACCTATTATTTCCTTGTGAACTTTTAGGATCTGTTCTAGCAACTTTCAGATGTGACAGTATTGTTAGCTGTAGTCACCATGCTGTGCGTCACATCCCCAGGTGTATGTGTCTTATAACTAGAAGCCTGTACTTTTCACCTATTTCCCCCACCCTGGCAGCCATCAGCCTCTTCTCTGTACCTATCTGAGTTTGTCTGTTTGTTTGATGCCACATGTAAGTGACAGAGATTACCCTTTATTATTTTTCAAATGACTTAGACTTCTTTGCAGTTCACATATTCAATTCAGAGATTTTCAACTTAGTGCTCTCCCTTTTTCATAAAAATCCTATCCTTGATTCACACCAGTAGCTCAGTGTTTCTCAGTTGAGCCTGCGGGTTACCTGCACCAGAATCCCTAGGGACCTTTATTAATCGTACAGATTCTTTGTGCTGGAGGAGCTTCCTGAGTATTCTAACATGCACTAAAGTTTCTTTTAGCCAGTGAACCCCTCCAACTCTATGCTAGTCCCCCTTGCCTTTGCTGAACTCCGTTTGCAGCCGGGGTCTTTAAGTGTTGCCCGTAGCAGCATTCTGCACGCCCAGGGGACTTGCTGCGGCAGGGCGGGACCCTTTCTGTTTCCCACTGTATTGCTTCTGGTCTTTGCCTCCGTAAATGTCGGTTCCCTTCTCTTTTCCTTCTCCAGCACCAGCACACTTCTAGATGAAGATCCAGAATTGTGTCTGTCCTTAAGTCGTCTTCGTTCCCCTCTTTCTACATATTTCTCCCTGGGAAAGGTCTCCACTTGTCACAACTTCAGGAAGACTCCCAGATGTCTCTCCAGTTCTCCCTTACCTTATGAGTTGAATGTCTACTACTTATTTCTAATTGCACATCCCACCATCACTTCAAACTCAACATCTAAAACTAAATGGATTGCTTCTACCCCAATCAAGTTCTTTTTCTCTCACTTTGATTATGGAATAATAGTGATTTGTTTTAATTGCAGGCTCTTCAGCAAAAGCCCTTGTCAGTTTAAAAGGTAAGGGTCCCACCCTGGTTCTCTAGGTATGGCATAAGCTAGAGATTTAATTCATTGAATGAATGTGGGTTAGTGTTTCTCTCTTCTGAGTTATGATTCATTATAGCTTTTCAGTACTGGTTTTCACTGGTGACAATTTTACATTCATATGCTGTTACAAATTGGTCCTTGGATGTTAGAAATTACTAAGAATTTTTCCCCCTAGAATTACTGATTAAAGAACTTCCTTATTAGATGTAAAACATTTATTTTTTTAAACATTCATTAAACAATTATGCTAAGCTGTATTTTTGCATAATAGCTTATTTTTTAAGAATCTTGCCTTTAAGTAATAATGCAAATCTCGTAAAAATAAAAGAACAATAATAACTTCCTTTTCTGAGAAAAAAGATAAATGTTCCTTGGTCTTGCTATTTCTTTCTGTAAGTAGTACATTAGACCAACCCTCTTAATATAACTCATTTTGAAATTTTACCTTTTGAGCAAGATTCTACTGGGTAAGTACATTTGGAACTAAGCTAGATATTCTAAGCCTCATTAGTACTTTTAATTTTTAAAACTACTGTGTTGTGCTTTGAGTTGGTGATTTACTAAGTTAAATCCTCTGGCTTGAGAACACTTATCTTCCAGAGTTACCCTAATTTATTTGCCTACCAAGATCAACCCCATCCTACCTTTTTTCTTTTGTACTTATTAAAAAAGTATTTCATTATTATGAAATACTTTATACTTATTAAAAGTATTTCATATTCTTCCTCAATAGTAAAATCACTTTTCTTTTAAAAATACATATATCCGTGTATATTATATGTATGTATGATACACATGATAAAATTTCTTATAGAAAAAAATTAGAAAATGCTGATGAGCAGCTAGAAGGAAATGAAGCTAACTGCGTTTGGTATACCCATCCCAGGGTTCTATGTTTCTCTCTGTATAAAGATATCCTTTTTATAAAAGTTAAACTCACCCTTCTTTTCATAGTATGCCTAATTAGCCACTTGATTGAATCTCTTCTGGTTGCATACAACTCAAGACACTTCTTAGAATTAAAGAAAACAGAAACACCACACATTTCCTTTTTTGAATATCAAGGGTTCATATTCTGAAGTAGAAAACATTTAGAAATATGCTCTAAATTCAAGGTTAGAAGAACTTTTTTTCATTGCCTGCTTTCGATTAGATTGCATTTATGAGAGAGTTCTTGGAAAATTAGAATAGAGGAATTACTAAAAACCAAGAAGAAAGAAGCCACACATGTTTTAATAAGAAAATTTAATATTTTCAGGATGCATTGCCTTGCCTTGCCAAGTTACTTAGAGTTTGACCAAAACAACAACAACAGAAAAACACACAGAAGAGACCTTTCATTTGAAATAAACTAAAGTTATTATGATCAGTATATTTTTTTTATCTTGGTAAATACTTCAGATATATTGCTATTATTAAAAAGGCAATGTTCATAGTATGAAATCCTTTGAGCTAAACTTAAATCTTATTAGTAATAATTATTTATTACAGAGGGAAGCTTATCTAACACATGGAATGAAAAGTTCAGTTCTTTACAAAAAACACCTGTTTGGAAAGGCAGGAATACAGGCTCTGCTGTGGAAATGGTAAGGAATTAGTTTTTAGAATATGATAGCTAATTTGTTTGTATTATTGTCATGTGCAAGTTCTTATAGCACAGTAAAAATTTTCCAAGGTTTTCCCCCACCTTTAAGCATTTGAGGTTTTTTTTTAATTGATTGATTTGAAAGAGAGAAACATCAATTTGTTGTTCCACTAATTTATGCATTCGTTAGTTGCTGCTTGTATGTGTCCTAACGGGGGAATCGGACCCGCAACCTTAGCATATCAGGGAGGCGCTCTAACCAACTGAACTACCCACCAGGGCAAGCATTTGAGTCTTAAGTGCCATTGAACGGTACATAATCTGTAGTCTGTGATAATCTGGTCATTGTTAAGCATTTGTTAAGTAATTGTAGTTTTTTTTTTTTATATAGGCAAAAACAAAAAAACTCCAACAACCCAAACTCGTACTTTTATTAGATAGTAAAATTTGCATGGCTCTGGTCCCTACAAAAAGATATATAAATAAGTGGTAAAATAGTAAAATCTTGTGTAGTTCAAGGGTAACTGCATTTAGGGGTGGGAAGTAGAGGTGAGCGTATAGTTGGCAGGACTAATGATCTGGGGGACCTCTGCTCCTCCCCTGCCCAGGAGGTTAGGGGTCAGTCCTGAAACAAGCCTGGAGCTGGGATACACAGCAGTGGTCACTGTACCTGGACAGCCGACCACAGTGAATGTGCAGGACTTTACACTCCCGTCAGTTCTGTCACCATCATTCTCTTCCTTCTCTTGGGAGGAAGCAGGGGAGAAGGGCTTCCAGTCAGGGCTATGGAGTGTTGAGACTCTCAGTGGATTTAATTTCAAGGATCCTAACCTCTAACCTTGACGCGATTGGATGCTGCCCACATGTTGCTAGCTCTCTGTACCTCCCTCCCTTCTAAATAGGCATGAAGCTCTGTCTTGAATAGTGGAAGAAGGATTTGAAAAAGGATGCAGGTACTATGGGATATTATTTCTGTTGTTCGTTTAATGAGACCTCTGAACCTAGAATGGACTGTAAAATTTTTCATATTATAGACCCTTGAGTATATGATGTACTTTGGGCACTTAAGTTTTTTTTAGTCCTACAGGCATTTATCAGGTATCTGTTATAGGTATCTCATATTTTTGTTTATAAATGGAAATTCAGTTAACAATTTTTTTTCCAGTTAACAATTTTTGACCTCAGATCTAGTATATTATATACATTTAGATTTAGAGTCTAGAGCAGGGATGGGCAAACTTTTTGACTCGAGGGCCACAATGGGTTCTTAAACTGGACCGGAGAGCCGGAACAAAAGCATGGATGGAGTGTTTGTGTGAACTAATATAAATTCAAAGTAAACATCATTACATAAAAGGGTACAGTCTTTTTTTTTTTTTTAGTTTTATTCATTTCAAATGGGCCGGATCCGGCCCGCGGGCCGTAGTTTGCCCACGGCTGGTCTAGAGTGACCTAGTAACTTTGCCCTAGCCCAGCCCTATACAACAGACATATGTGATACACCCAGCTGGCATTAACCCAGACACCAACATAATACGAACTGGAATTTCCAGAATTTATTTTCCTGTCTTCATTCAAAGCTGTTTGATTTGGGTTCCAGTTTTAATCATCAGCTAGGTGTTCTATTTGTAAACATTTTGCATAAATATGTATCTTACTACTTTCTAAATCTGGGATCACTTGTACTTTGTATTACCTATACTTCATCCTTCTGTACTGCTTGCTAATAATCTAGAGTTAGCTGTACTTTCCTATATAGAATTATATTTTGGAACAAAAATGGGAAGTGTTCAGTCTTTTCATGAAATAAAATAATTTATATCAGCCTTTCAGAAATTCAAAACGAAGTCGATTCTTTTCTGATGAAGATGACAGACAAATAAATACAAGATCACCTAAAAGAAACCAGAGGTTGCAATGGTTCCACAGGTATGTGTGTGCTAAAATTTTGTTTCATGTGATAGGAAGTGAGCAACTGAGTAGCTTATATTTATTGTTACATTTTGAGTAACAAGTTCTTTTCTTTAAATCAGTGCTCCACCTTAGCTTCTATTGTAGTTACCTAGAAAATGCTATTATTTTATTGATGGACTTGAAACCAGAGTAGAAAGCCAGTCCTCAGTCTTACAAATACACTTTCTTATAAGAATGGAGATAGTGGACATTAAGCAAATGGGTTTGGCAATATGGAATCAGTTTGGCATGGAGATGAGCTGCCTCCTGCAGCCCACCCCCCCCCCCCCCCACTGGGGAGCGAGCCCACAACCCGGGCATGTGCCCTTTCAGTCCATAGGCCGATGCTTTATCCACTGAGCCAAACCGGCTGGGGCTGGCATCTTTTAAAAAGTCATGGTGGAAATGTAAGAATCAAAGCAATGAATGAAAATTGGATAAGGAAATATTAACTTCAAGAATAATGTGGTCCAAGGTGGTTTGGCTCAGTGGATGGAGCGTCCCAGGATCGATTCCAGTCAAGGGCACATGTCTGGTTGTGGGCTTGATCCCCAATAGGGGGTGTGCAGGAGGCAGCCAACCCATGATTCTCTCTCATTATTGATGCTTCTATCTCTCTCTCCCTCTCCCTTCCTCTCTGAAATCAATCCTATATAATAAAGAGGTAATATGCAAATTGACCATCACACCCTCGCACAAGATGGCCACCCTCATGTGGTCACAAGATGGCCAACAGGGGAGGGCAGTTGTGGGTGATCAGCAAGGGAGGGCAGTTAGAGGCGACCAGGCCGACAGGTTAGGGGGGGACCAGGTCTGCAGGGGAGGGCAGTTAGGGGTGACCAGGCCGGCATGGGAGGGCAGTTGGGGGTGATCGGGCTGGCAGGGGATGGTAGTTGGGGGTGATTGGGCCGGCAGGGGAGGACAGTTGGGGGCAATTGGGCTGGCAGGGGAGCAGTTAGTCATCGATCAGGCTGGCAGGGGTGTGGTTAGGGGGTAATCAGGCTGGCAGGCAGAAGTGGTTAGGGGCAATCAGGCAGGCAGGCAGACGAGTGGTTGGGAGCCAGCAGTCCTGGATTGTGAGAGGGTGCAGGTTGGGTTGAGCCCCGCCCCCCCCCCCCCCCCCCGCCAGTGCATGAATTTTGTACACCGGGCATCTAGTAAAAATATATATTAAAAAAAGAATAATGTGATTTTTTTTCTCTATCAAATTTTTATTTTTTGAAAGTCATTCCCTACTTCCCTGTCATTTTTGTTTGTTTTGTTAATCCTCACCCAAGGATTTTTGCCATTGATTTTAGATAAGGTGGAAGGTAGGGAGGGAAGAAGAATGGGAGGAGGGGAGAGAGGGAGAGGGAGAGGGAGAGAAAAAGAGAAACATCAATGTGAGAGAGTTGGTTGCCTCCTGCACGAGCCCCTACTGGGTGGGTGTCAAACCTGCCACCCAGGTATGTGCCCTTGACTGGGAATGGAACCACTGAAGGAACAGCACCGGCCAGGGCTCATTTCCTCCGAGTGCTGGAGACTTCGTGTGGTGGGTCATAGCAGAGGCGATTTCCTCAGCCAGGGATTGGGCATCAGAGGGATTAAAGGAGTGACCAGCAACATGCCCATAAGCACATAAAACGCCTTCCATGCCTTCATGATCATCTCAAACAGTACAAATGCTTATGTTCTGTAAAATGGACAAAAAGATATTTTGAAAAATTTTAATAACAAATGTACATAAGCATCTAAACTTCAGTTTAAAAAATGGAAATAATACAAAATGTGCATAGTTGGACTTGGTAGGTGTTGGATACAAGGTTGAATGAATATAAGAAATAGTTAAATAACTTTTTCCTGTATTGACTTAGGAGAGGTGTGTTAGGATAATTTGAGTAACAACTCTCTAAAGTGGATTGTTTTAAAACTTCTTTTCTTCCTCTAGCTGTTTCTTAGGAAAATTTCCAAGCATTCAGAAAACTTTAGTCTCTGTGACTAGAAAGCCATCCTGCCCAACTCATCCACTGCCTTGCTCTGCAGACACATCGTCCTTCTAGGACTATCTTACAGTCCTTTGTGCTTCTGAGATGAGACTTCTGAGATTGTCGTTTCTAGCCTAACGTGCCTAGTTCTTTCAAGTTGTATTTACATGACATGGCTTGTTCCCTTATCCTCCTACTCAGCCTCCAAATACTTATATTCTGTCTGTGTGTTTTTTGTTGTTGTTGTTAATCCTCATTTGAGGATAGGTTTTCCATTGATTTTTAGGAGAGTGGAAGGAAGGAGGGAGGAGAAGAGGAGAGAGAGAGAAAAGCATTGATGTGAGAGAGCCACTTCAAGTGGTTGCCTCCCACACACACCCCAACCAGGGCGGGCAACACGCAACCTAGGGACCTGCCCTGGGCCAGAGAGCCCTCGACCCTTGGGTTCTCTGGCCGACGCTCTAACCACGGAGCACACTGGCTGGGGCATCTCCCTTTATTTGTTTTATAAATTTACCTTTATTATTGAAAGTATTACAGATGCCCCCCCATTGCCCCTCGCCTCCCACTCCTACCCCTCCCCGCATATGTATTATGTTGATTTGCTCTTGAGCAGTCCTGATGAGATAGGTTACTATTATATTATCTCCTATTTTTCAGGTGAGAAGACAGACACAAGTGTCTTGCTCAGGGCCACAAACCTAGGAAGTGAAGGCTGCTACTAAAGTGGCAGACATCCTGTCTCCAGAGCCCTGCTTTTTTATGTGTTAGCAGTTTTATTGAGATATAATTCATGTATCATCCAACTCACCTATTTAAAGGGACACGTCAGTGGTTTTAATGTAGGCACAATTGAGCAAGCAGCACAACCAGTTTTAGAACGTTCTCATCACCCCGCAAAGAAACCCCGTGCCCTGTACAGTCACTTCATTTTCCATGTGCTGAATGAAAGAGGTGTGATGGCTACAAGGGTATTAGCATTGAAACTTTAGAAGGTAGTGCCAACAAAGTCAATTCATAAAAGTTGGAATAATTTCTATTTCCACTAATAGTTTGAATATATTTCCCCATACTCAACAAGGGATCTCTACTATAGTTTTACTATATCCAATGAGCCATTTAAAAATCTGGGTCAGTAATTCAAAGGAAAGAAAAGTAACACTTTTTCTGATAATAATAATTTATAGTAAATTGGTTATTATTTATGCTTAACAACTCCCAACATACAGAGAGAGATAGAAACATCAGTGATGAGAGAGAATCATTGATCGGCTGCCTCCTGCACACCCCACACTGGGGATTGAGCTTGTAACCTGGGCATGTGCCCTGACTGGGAATCGAACTGGTGATCTCTGGGTTGATGCTCAACTGCTGAGCACACCTGGCTGGGCAGTTATTTTCTTATTAGTTTGTAAGAATTTTGTATATATTAAGAATATTAGCCTTTGGGCTGTTTATATTGGCTATACTTTTCTTCAGAGTTTGTAGGTTTTTATTTTTTAGTTTGTTTTTTTACTTTGTATTTTTCACCATGCAGGATTGAATAAAAATTTTAAGAGTCAAATATAACTATCTTTCCTTTTTATGATTTACTGAGTTTATGCTCAGAAAGACCTTCTTCTCTAGTCTAAAATTTATAGTTCTAGAATTCTCTCAAATTTCTTTTTTTTAAAATCTTTATTGTTGAAAGTATTACATATGCCCCCTTTTCTTCCCCCTTTAACCCCTTCTAGCCTGCCCCATCTCTCATATTTCTTATATCATTTCATTTTTTAAATATTTAAATATTCGGTCCATCTGGAATTTATTTTGGAATAAGGAATGAGGTAAGACTGCAACCTGATTCCGTCCCCCCGCCCCCGCCCCCCCCCAAAGGGCTACTTGTCCTGGTCACATTTACTGCGTAATCCATCATTTATACATTGATTTAATATGCTGCCTGCAGTACAATGCAAACTTCTGTATATATTTGGGATTATTTCTAGGCTTTCTCTCTTTTGTCTACTATGTCTCTATGTGCTAGTGTCAAGTTGTTTTAATATTGCTTTATATTTTGGTTAAATGTCTATAGACATTCTTTCTTACTCTTTTTTTAGATTTTCCTAAATATTCTTGTACATTTTTTTCTATGTAAACTTTGGATTCAACCTGACTAGGAAAAAAATCTTGATGGCAGTTTTGTTGGTATTACACTAACATTATAAATGTATGGGTTTGACACGTTACATTGAGACTGCCTACCCATGAACTGGTTGTAGTTCCACCTATTTAAAAGCCTTGATGTCCCTGGTAGACTTTAACATTTTTTTCATGTCAGTTTTGCACATTTCTTTTTTTTTTTTAATATATTTTATTGATTTTTTACAGAGAGGAAGAGAAAGGGATAGAGAGCTAGAAACATCGATGAGAGAGAAACATCGATCAGCTGCCTCCTGCACGCCTCCTACTGGGGATGTGCCCGCAACCAAGGTACATGCCCTTGGCCGGAATCGAACCTGGGACCCTTTAGTCCGCAGGCCGACGATCTATCCACTGAGCCAAACCGGTTAGGCAGTC